GTACTAATATCCTGTAATGCATATGCCAGAGGTTTATGAAATTCTGCCTGGGAAAACTGAGAAGCAGCCCATGGTCGGAATTAGATGGTCTTCAACCAGAGACAAAGATAATCAATGAACAACTGTCACAGGTCAACTTGAAGGGTTTTCTAACTATTAACAGTCAACCTCCTGTTAATGGAGAGAAATCCGACTCTCCTGCTGTTGGTAAGCTATCATAACTTTTAGTTGCACAAAAGTCATAGTTGTTGCTTCTTGATAAATCTATGTTTTGTTTCCACGGGAGAACTGTGATGTATAAATCATGTTACTAGCAATTGTATTCTTGTTGTGAGAACACCTGCTTTGATTTATATGAGGAACTTAAGAAATTCCATGTTTTGTTAAGTGAGCCCTTTTCTGTTTCAAATCACTGGGAATATTATTCCTGTAAAAGAAAGTAGCTCTTATTAGAGAATAACGACATGGCCTCCACTTGCAAATTTTCTTTGGTTAATTGTAACTAGATTATTAACAGTTTGGCAAATGTGATACATGTTGCCAATTTACTAATTTATTTGGATTTTTCTGCTTACATTTTATGGTCTGGGCATGTTTTGGTTTTTTAGATGGTTTTACTGACCTCAATGTAAAAATAGCCAGACTCATTACCAGCCCAATCTTTTATCCATAAAAGTTTTAAGCCCCCAAGAACAATTTGCTGTTGATCTCCTTCTGACCACTCTGCTCGGTCTTATCTTGTTAGTTCTTAACTTCAACCTTATGTTATTCTATTTTGCAGGATGGGGTGGACCAGGGGGTTATGTTTACCAAAAGGCGTATCTGGAATTCTTTTGTTCAAAAGACAAGCTAATTTCAATCACTGAAAATTGCAAGGCTTTGCCATCTCTCACATACATTGCTGTGAACAAAGAAGGGGAGTATGTCTCCAATGTTGTTCTCAATGCAGTCAATGCAGTAACATGGGGTGTTTTCCCTGGCAAAGAGATCATCCAACCAACTGTTGTGGACCCTGCTAGCTTCATGATCTGGAAGGATGAAGCTTTTGAGATTTGGACAAGGGGATGGGCTCGATTGTTTCCTGAGGGTGATCCATCAAGGGAGCTACTAGCTCAGGTATTCTTGTACTCTGGGTTGATATAAAGCTCTATTTATTCTTAGTAATGGTTCTCTGTCACATTTAAAAATACTTCTATGATTATTATTTAGATCATAAAATCTAATTTTGTTTGAACTGATCAGTGTTAATTGATTCTTGCTGGTCCAATTATGGGCCAGCATTAAACAATATATGTTAGTACCAGTCTGTACTCATTTATTTTTTGTTACTTTCTCAAACAATATCAGGTGGTAAGGTCGGATGCCCGTAGTATGTTGTTACCATATCGGTCCGACCAGTTAAAATCGGTACTAAGCCAATCAGTATTTAGATCATAAAACAATTTAAATCCTTAATTTATATTATATTCCCAAAGAATAAGAGCTCTTTTCAATTTTGCAGTTTTATCTGAACTTATAGAAGAATCTGTTGATCATCGTTAGGATGCAATCTTTTTTGCTTCCTGAGACATGCTTTTTATCATCCATCTTTTGGGGAACTAATTGGCTTTCTAACATGTTTGTGGTTCTTTTCACATTTACAGGTGCAAAAAAGTTGCTTCTTGGTTAGCCTTGTTGACAATGATTATATTCATGGTGACATTTTTGCTGCTTTCAAAGGCGCGTGAAACGTTTTGACTCAAAAGTCTACTCGTCTGTCGTAGCAACATTTTGTCTGTGATTTATCTAGTAATGAGCAGACGAGAGTCCACTTATCCGAATTTGCGTTCTAATGGATGCATTAGTTTTTCTTTTACAATCATTTCTAGAACGATTGTTTAATTTGCATAAATAAACTGAATTGCCAGGTGCGGTCCTGATGTTTCTTTGTTTGCATATCAATGTGCCTGCTCTTGGCTGTGGATGTTCTTTCTGTTGCCTCTTGTCCTGTTTGTGCTATGATTTCTTCACAAAGCTTGAAAGCATTTTACAGCTTGAGAACATGAAATCAACTGTGTCATTGACTTTGTAACTAATGCAGACTCTCTCTAAAATCTTTCATAGGTTGTGATACACCCAACACTGGCTTTGTCATTGTGTTGCAGAAGTTATTTGCACAGAAAAATGAAATAAGATGTCCACAGTCAACCGACTTGCAGGGTAAAAGGAGAGGAACCACACAATATCAAACTCAACACTGATGCGTAGGAAATTGTTAGCAACCTTTGAAGTGGCTTGGGATAGACAACATCTATTGTGGATACATTCAAATTGGCTTGTTATTGTTCTAAAGAATTGCTAACCATAGTAGTCGAAAATAAAAATTAATATATTCTTTTTTGGATACTATATTTCTATAAACCTACTCTAAATTAACAAGATTGCTGATAATTTTTCTACAGGTGCAGTGCCTTTAGTATTTAGAAAGACGAGTCAGATCTTGTCACCATTGGGCTTTCTCAATAGAGTTGACTTATCAGAGTCTGTACCAGTCAGATCTCGTCACAATTGGGCCTTCTCAATAGAGTTGACTTATCAGAGCATGTCATGACATCAACAAACATTTCTTTTCGGCAAACTGTCATATTGCATCAAGAAAGAATGACTATTCATAATTATTTTTCACTTTTTGTCGAATCAAACACTTTCAACAAACGAATCGACCGTAAAAGACTTTCTCAGGAACACATGTTGACATGGAAAAGAGTAAATAGAATAGAAGTCAAAATGGGTTCGTTTGCGGGTCAATATCTGACCGATCAAACTCGAGTCGAATCAAAGTGAATCGAAATTTCTCGATCCGAACTCGACCTTATGAGTCCAGTTTGAGGCTTCCCACCCTTAGGACACTCCGACCATCATTTACCTTGCACTGCGGTAGATCCAATGCCACCCGATGAGGGCGCGGCACGTGCACGAATGTGCACCGAAGGAAGGCAGTCTGCGGTACAGCGAAGTCCAGCCAGGATTCTGGGCCCCACCTCGCTTCAGGGCTGGATTTTGACGCCATGTGGCGACAGCAAGACGACAAATTCGATTCTTAAATATGGGGACAGTTTTGAAGCGATGCTCCGTTGTTTAATCTCTTCTTTATGGAGATAGCGAATTATTAATTCTCGATTCAACAAAATCTCTAGCAAATTCATTCTTTTTAAGTTTTATATATATATATATATATATATATATATATATATATATATATATATATCATAATTAGATTAGGCTGATCTGAGATTTTTTCTATGGTTGTTCATAAGAGAGATAGAAGTGGGGGATCATAATATTTGGAAAGACATATTTTATACTAATATTTTAAAGAATAAGTATGCTATTTTCAAACTATGCAAAGACAAATATATACGAATCCTCTTCTCTAATCATATGGCACATTTTGTTGATATTTTTTGTGATTAGTCTATTATCAACGGTTGTCATGTTGATTAATTAAGCTAATAAAACAAATGTTTTATTTATGACACTAATCACCATGTCTATTGTCTAATGAGTATTAGAAACCGAAAAATAAATATTTGTGATTGTTTTGACTATATAATTTTTTTATTTTTAAAATTAAAAATTCTCCTATAAATATTACATGAAACTGTAGAATATTCTTACTGAGACTCAAAACTGATAGATATTAATTGTGTAATAAATCTTATTTTTGTAAAGGATAAGTTTTGGGATGAGGATTTTTCGAGAAACTATCATCAAAGTCTTTACCATCATCACCTTCGATTGTATATCATTAACCACTGAAATATATCGAAAGATAGGTTTAAATTCAATTATAGGTCAAATAATTATAATAAATAAAAAGAAAAAAAATACTTTTTAATTTGAAAAGTAAGATTTTTAGATGGACCACAAAACAGGCTTTGGAAAATTCTCCCTCCCCAAAATTAGGTCAAAAAATAATAATTAATTACCAGCCGGCTGACACAGTAATAACTGAAGCCTTAATTGTTGCAGACCCCAAAAGAAATGGCGCCCATAATTGGATCAGCCCACCCAACACTGTCTTAGCGGCGCAACTTTTAAAGCACGGCAGTGAAGAAAGCGAGCCCACTTTTGTGGCCCCCTTTAAACCGCCTTTCGTACCCAACGGGCCCCCACCGTGAGCTGGATTCGTGGAGCCCACCGAACCCCGTTTGGTACCCGAACACCCACGCGATCTCGTCTGTTCTCTCTCGATATCCGCCGTCCCATCTCAATCGGACGGTCCAGAAGCGGTCTTTCGGGCGTAAATGCAAGTCAAGGTTCGCTGTGTTTTTGTTAGAAAAGCCCCTTCATCTGGTAAAATTATGATTAGATACAACATATTTACATATCTGTTCATGTAAAGATTCTAAATAACATATTTATCCTCGTATATTCCAGTGCTAATAATCTTCAACTGTGGTTAATAATATTATATATAAATATAAAATATCTAAAAATAATATTATAAAAGAACAGTAGTGTTCATTGTGATTTCAAATAATAGTCAAATGATAATTAATTGACGGTGCTTAATTACATAATACTAATAAGCTAGATGGATCGGTGGTATAAAAATATTTAAATTATTATCTACAGTCCCTACTAAAATATTTTTATGTTTTTCAATCTCTTAATTTGAATATAGACCAATTTAAAACTAGAGACATGCCATCTTGTCTATTTAAAATGTACAAAAATACCTTTTTAGAAGAATATTAATATTAATTATAATTTTAAATAAATATTCAAATGATAGTGTTTCATTACGAAGATGTATATATATATATTTATATGCAAGTTTTAGGTTTGGTGAGGACATATGTGATAAATGTAATTAAGAGGGATGCAAACGAAAAAATAACACCAAATATTTATGCTCAAAATGACACGCTCAACCCCCTTAACGGAGGGGCAGTTTGGGAAGCAAGGAAGTCTCGATGGGGTTTTATCTGTGCTTCTCCTCTTTCTTCCCTTCCATTACTGTTCGTACTGCCCCCCAAAAGGAGTTCCTTTTTCCTTTTCGATCGCGTTTTTGGAGAGATTTTAGGGTTCTCCGGAGCCCTAATCTCGCTGTGATTCTTTCCACTGCTGGTGGGAGATCAGTGTCGCCTTTCTCGGCGAACTTTCTGGGGCTTTGTTTTGGCAAGATTTCTCTCTGTGTCGTTGCTGCTGGAGTTGGATTTAAGCTCGTTGGTTCCTCGACCATCATGCATTGCGAAAAGGTCGAATATTTCAGCTAGTTAGAGGGTCTTTGAGCTCCGGTGCTGCGAAAGAAAGACAATTTAGGATTATATGGTGGTCTCCAATATTTCTTGGTGTTCTTGGGGCAAGGAAAGCGGAGGCATTGTTGAAGTTTGAAGCAATCTTGGCTACATCATGGTCTCAGTTCGGCATGATTCAGGTGCTTTGGACAAAAAAAATTGGATTTTGAGCTTAGATGCTGCTGTTTATTTATGAGTTCAAGCCTATTTTTTTCCGAGAGTTGGAAGCTTTCTTGATGGGAAGTCATATGCGTTCGTTGATTAACTGTCATTTGATGTTGTTCTGAGCACTCGTTACAATTATTCCTCTGCGCATGTATTCCCAAAATTGATAGAGGATTTGCATCATCCAGATCCCTTTCATAGTGGTAAGGAAGATATTATCATTTGAATATGCTGTCTGAGAAGCTTTTAGGATCCACAGAGTTGATTCGCCACTTGATCATTCTCCTTGCACTCCTTGGGGTGTTGTTTGCGTGCCAGTATAAGGCCCAGCCACCGATTTCTTTTGCAAGCACTGCAAGATCATTAGACGCTCTCCTTCAGGATTATGCTTACCGTGCTATTGTTCATCCCCGCACCGGGATTTCCTATAATGGTACTGTCCCTTCCAACCTCACTGGCATCAAGATTGCAGCAATAAGGCTCAGAAGTGGGAGTCTGAGAAAGAGGGGAGTTCATAGCTTTAAGGAATTCAGCATTCCAGTTGGTGTAGTTGTGCAACCTTATGTCCGAAGACTGGTCTTGGTTTATCAGAGTCTTGGCAACTGGTCTTCTGTCTACTACCCTCTTCCTGGCTATAGTTACCTGACTCCAGTTCTTGGTCTCCTTGCTTATGATGCGGCAAATTTGTCTGCCACAAACTTGCCTGAGTTAAATATTGTGGTTTTGGAATCACCCATATCCATCAACTTCACAAATGTCACTCCTGTGCCGAGTGGTACAATTGCCAGATGTGTGTGGTTTGGTTTAGATGGCTCGCCATATTTCAGAGACTTGGTATCAAGCAATGTTTGTTCAACATACCGACAGGGCCATTTCTCCATCGTTGTCAACTCCAGTGAGATTGCTCCTTCCCCAGCACCAAGTTTAACACCAAGGCCACGGCCAAGCCCTGGTGGCTTTAAGAGTAGTAACAAGTCGAAGGTGTGGAAGATTGTTGTTGGTGCGGTTGGTGGATTTGTTGCTTTGGTTTTCTTGGCTCTACTTGTTTACTTCATGCAACGTTATAAGCAGAATAAGAAGGTGGAACAGATGGAGCAGCATGCAAATGCAGGAGTATCACTACAAACAGCAAGTGTTGGAGATGCGCGAGTGCCGGTGGCTTCAGTGACAAGGACACAGCCGGTCCTGGAGAATGAACTTGTTGCTTGAGTGTTACTGTTGGATCAGCAAAGGAGTCCATTGAAGGATGATTAGCCAGGAATGAGCTGAGGACCGTCTTTCAGGTGTTTCATATATGTGGAACAGATGACAGCCATTGCTATGTTCCTTGTGCCTTTGTTGGTTGCAATGAGATTTCCATGGTACCAGTTTCGTTGTGCGCTCAGACCCTCGATGCTAATTTGAGGTAGAAATTCTTTGCAGGGAGGTTGTTCACTGTTTTACCATATTCTTATTATTTGAAATGCCTGTTGTCATGTAAAAAGGCCACGAAGGAGATGGCATTTCTTGCTAGACGGAACTGTTTCAATTATTTATTTGTTGTCTGCTGTGCTTAAGAGGATCGCGCTAATAAAGCTGAGATATCGTTCATTTCATCTTTTGTGGGGCTACTCTTGTAAGCTAATGCACATCTTTTTGGGAAATTTTGATCTCTCCTTGTGCTGCTAATTCTATATTCTTTCAGACAATTCTCTGCTCGCTATGCTGCAGTTCTTGAAAGTTTCAGAGAAAGGTAAAATTCACTCTTCCACTCATTCCAAATACTGTCAATAGTGTGCTAGTGCAGCTGTGCTTTCTTTTAACTAAAATTGTGCTAAATTTATCATTCATGAATGTTTTTTATCTCCTCCCACAAAATGATCTTATTGATGCTGCAATTTTTTATTGCAAAAATTTTCAATATGGTCACTTCTTTTCCAATAGTAACATTGAATATTTGGCTTGATTGTTACGCTCAATGCTTCTTTGATTCTGATATTTAGATAAATCGGATCTCTGGTTGCCCGGTATACCACTTAGCACCACAACCATGGTTACGGCCTCTAAAATTTTGCGTCTTTTGCATCATAGCTTTCTTTATCTTTTTTATAAAAAATATCTATTGTTTTACTTTACAAGACATTCTCATCTTGCACATTCTATCGGTGTCATTGTTACATCAGGATATGCAGGCAATTTTGATGCCAATCAAGATAACTTGATTTATCTGACAAATCAAGATTGCAAATATGTTTTGTTTTAATTAAATTATATCTAGTGAGTCTCAGTGGAAGATCTCTACTAGTCCTTGCCTCTTAAGAATAGAGTTATCCTTCTTTCTTGAATAAGTTCATTTTATAGATTTCTACCAAACCTTCTGAATTCACATCTTTCTTGAAAAAGTTCATTTTATAATTCATTACAAAAGGGACTCATCTACGTCCAAGTTGTTGATAAAAATAGTATTTTTTTTGACTCAATCCTTTTTTATTATCCTTATCATTTGGGAAATACAAGAAAAATTCAAGGTAATAAATATTATGTAGAGTTTCTATGTGATCGTACCCATAGCTATTAGTGGAATGTTTGATACTTTTGAGCTCCAGAATACTGCAACATTTTGCACCCACAGAAATTTACTGAATTTTTCACATGGATTTATATGAGTTAACAGAGTTATATTCCTCACATGCAGACATAAGAGTCAGGTCACAGAGATGAGACAACATCCATGAGAGTCAAGTCTCCATGAACAATGCAGCAGCTGCTCTCCTCTGAACTGTTCCCAGTGAGAATGTTAACGTTGCGAAAGTGATGATGGGGAACAAACAAGTTTACTTTGGTTTGTGGAACAAACACAAGAGTCCTGTCCCACTTTTCTTGGCATCTTTGTCCTATGTTAGACAGCATCTCTAGAGCTCCAGCATGCAATTGTTTCTTCTTTTGCACATGGGAAATGGTAAAGAGAGATTTTAGTATCAGAATCTTTCAGCGATCTGATAAAGTGTTACCGGTCACATTAACTAACGTATTCTCAAAACAAAAAGAATTCTCAATCCTTCTGATCAAAAGTGTAATTTTCTTTTGCATTTTAATGGATTGTGTACAATATGGACTCTTCAAAACAGATGGAGATGAGAGCCATCTTATGCTGAATGTGTCAGCTAATGAAGGAGGCAGTACAGGCTTCACTTGTGTCTGGCAATCTTTGGTCAAATCCAACTTAAATGTGTCTTAATTTCTACAAACTGAGCCTATCGTTTATAGTGGCGAAATGTGAGATCAAAATTGTCCACTTGGGCACAATATTGTGGAGGATAATGATAATAGCTTAATAGTAATAAAGAATGGGAGTGAAATAGAACTCAAGAAAGTCAATAGCCAGTAAAGATTTGTAATTGTCTATTTGTGTATGGTATTTGTATGCCATTTGATGTAATAGAAATATCTTTCAATTTTTTTAAAATAAATATTTGTAGATTGATCTCAAGTAGTTGGCACATTATAATTTCTTTTGTTGTACTAAAATTATATATGATTTAGGAAATAATAAATATATAATAAATTAATAGTGAAAGTAAAAAAAAATTCTGAAAATGTGTTACATGTCGCCATAATATTTTTTCTCATCCTTGTGCGGATAATTGAGAACTTGTGATTACAGTAATCTATTTTTATACACAATCGTAGAGGACAAGGGCATTCGTTTTAGAAATCTATTATCTTCATTTGATTTATACGCGTCGTGTTAATCTTTTTCGTATCGTTCTAATTATATCATATGTATATGAAAAAAACCACTTAAAAATATATGGTTGGCATATACTACTTTCATACACCAACAATGATAGAAAGAAAAACACAAGAGTGAAATATAACTAATTTATAAACCAATTCAATGTCTTAACTAAGGAAAAAAATAATTACGAGAAACACTAATAATTTTTTATGAGAAGATCAATAATAAAAGTACTATATATATATATATAAGCATAGTATATAATGTTGTGATGTAGTAATCAAGAGATCACTTTTGATGAATCAACTAATATTGAGATTATGGAGTAAATTAGTAAATAATAATTAATTTCAATTACCATGACAAAGATAACTTTTTATAGTAGATTATTTTTTTAAATAGAATATTCTCTAATCACTTTTTTGGACTAATATCCAGAATAGATCTTGCGTCTTTATCGTTTATTATACCATCATGTATAGTCACTATCGAAGGAGAATGTTTTTATTATCAAATATCATAAATCAAAAGTTTATGATATTATCGTCAAACATCCTCTCTTAAAAATTTATCAAGGTAACACTTATTAAAAAAATTGATAAATTTTGGGTCAAGTCATCTACCTAACTATGCTTATATAAAAAAATAACCTGACTAATTTTCACATATTATGTTGAATAATTTGTGACCTAGAGGCAAAGTGTTAAAAATATAAATTAATATTGTGTCTCATATAAATGCTTATGCTTTTAGATGAAATGATATTAAGATTTTTTTACATAATTTAAGACTTTTTGAGGCCCCACTAAGAGTATTGTTAAGAATAAACTTTGTGCACAGGGCTCCCATCAAATGCTTCAAGAGAGGATCTAAGTGCATCATATTACTTTTATAAATAACAAAGTGATTATTTTCATGACTCCAATTTTAGTTACCGAGCAATCTATCATCGAGACACATAACAAAAGAAAGGAGGAGTTTGGGGTTGGTTGTGGGAAGAAGAAGAAGAAGAAGAAGAAGAAGAAGAAGAAGCAAACACCCACATATCTGTACTACTTGCCCCATCTCAACATGCCTTGCCCTTTCCTTTTTCTATTACACCATCAGGGAATCCTATGCTGCTGTTCTTCCTCCCTCTACTGTGCTATTGTCCTTGCATTGTTCACTGACAGTAACGTCGCTCTAAACTTCACCTTGCTCTGCTGTCATAGCCTGTGATACGATGAGAGTGAAGTGGAAATGAGAAAGGCATTGAGATATCTCTATAATCTTTACTTGAATAGTTTGAGGACTGACGGACTGTTTCAGACTCTGATATAGATTGAGCTTCGTATGATGCATCTTCCAACAATGTGAATGAATGGTGGTGGTAGCTGCATGATCTAGAAAGGAACTAAACAGTGGGTTGATGTGATTTATATCTTCGCTTTGCTGCTTCAAATCAATTTAAAAGCTTGATCCAGAACTCCACAGAACAATTCAATCCATCTAGCTTTGAGATCACATCTAATGATTGCTATAGCTGTGTATCGATCAGTCACAAGCTGACTTTGTGCCGTATACATGGAAAAGGTAGTTTGTATGTATGGTGGACATCAAATCTCATGGCAGACAAACAAGGAAGACATGGTTTTATTGCTTCATGGACAATCTCATGTTCTGGTGCTTTAGCCAAACTCTTTCATGTGAGAACAATAAAAGCTCTTTTCTTTTTTTGTTTGACAACCATCTGCCTGCTCTTCACTCCAAAACCCACAGGAACTCATCCTACAACATTTGCAGCTGTAGTCCTTCTTTCTGCCAAAAATAAAATAAAAAATAAAAAATATTAAACTTTTTTAAAATTTTAATTTTTAGGGATCTTTAAAAAATATCAAAATAGATGAAAAGATAAAAATCTATAAAACAAAGCTAGTAGCTAAGAGATAACATTAAAGACAAGATATTGATTACGACAAAATCATCTCACTCGTAGCTATATTAAAATCCATCCAAATTCTATTGACTATTGTGATAAACTATGATTATGAGATTTGACAGTAAAATATAATGACAAGATTATTTTTTTTAATCTTATATTGATGAATTTATTTTTTTGAAAATATTTTAATCTTTTTCTGATTGACAATTTAGTTTTTGTTTAGAAATAAAAATTTCTTATCTAGTGAAAAGAAAGACTTGATAAAGAAAGTGCTGTTAGAGCCAGCTATTACTTTTCTTGCTTGGGAATGATTGAGAAGCTTCTCTCATACATGCAAATATCAAACAACATGAAGAAAAGAACTCACACTTTTAGCAATGTTCCAATTTCCAAGCTCCCTCAATAATTCTCATTTCTTTCTAAATTGCATGCACATACACACACTCTCTCTCTCTCTCTCTCTGTAAAAGGTTGTGGATATGACCCTGAAAACCCATGCACCAATTTAAACCTTCTCAGCAGAATCCATTGAGCCACTCATTAACTTTTTCCAAGACCTTTTTGCTCCCTAATATTTATATGTTCTCCGAGTTCCACGGCAGCCCACATTGACAAGGGGGTGAAACCTTCCTTGGGTGCCCAAGACTGCATCTTTCTTCCATCTCAGTTGCTACCCTTCCTTCCCCCATCGCTCTTCTCTGCTTTGTTTCCTCTTTTCTCCGGAACACCAGCATGTCTGGCTTATATACTCATAGCTTCTCCCCTGCCAGAGTTGTCTCCCCGCAGATAAGAAGCACATCAGATGTGGATAGGTAACAAAAGAGAGAAAAGATTCTCCTATTTCTTGTCTAAAAGTTTCATCTTTGTGATGATTTGCTTGCAATTGGTGATTGTGAATCTTGGGGTTCTGTTCTTTCTTCTGTTGCAGTCAGTACTTGGCAGAGCTGTTAGCAGAA